ATTTTATATTGTACACTTTTTAAAGCACACATGTTCTTACTGTGGTGTGATTTCACCACCCTGTAAGCCACCTCTGACTAAACAGGCTGCTTCTGTGTTCCCAGTTTTTTGTCTTGTCACCCATCATGATGAGAGTGTAAAAAAAACAAAACAGCCTCTGCAGACACACATGCTCCCCATTCAGTCGCTCCCAGTTATTTTGAATTAAAGCTTTGGATAAACGGGATCCATTCACAGACGCACACACATGCAGAATCAGCCTTTCCCCGTGTGTCTCATAGCATGCTATTTATGAGAGCAAAGGGTTTCAAATTTAAAACCAGGGAAATGTTCAAACAGGTTTTAAACTCATTATAATCTAAAAAAGGGGTAAGAACAGGAGCAGGACTTGCAAAGATTAAGACTGATGAAGATAAATGAAGAAGATGATCACATGAATAGATAATAATATAGCTATTCTGGTCTATCGTCTGTAATGTGAACCAGCTAAAATCCAGAGAATCTTCATTCCTTTTATTATCATTATTGCTGTGGTGGAAGTTACCATGGTCCACTGTGCGCACGCTGGCCTTTTGTGAATCACAAAGCCCCAAAGGTGTTCATTAGCTGTGGTCCCAGAGGCCTCGCATGGCTCCCTGCTGAGGCTCTGACTACTGCTACAGCAAAGTTTAGGCAATACCTCCTACACTGATTGCTATTATTTACATAAAACAAACGACTAAATAAAACTAACGTTTGTCACCATATAGAATGACTGAGTCTTTAAGGCACTTTTTTAAAGGCTAATCATACAGAATGTCTAAAAGATATAAAGAATAGACATAAGTAACGTATTTTTAGTCGTATGTCTGCTTCCACGTATTTGTTTGCATCGGCTCTCTCTTCCGTTCCTGTCTGGCTATTTTTGTATGTCCCACCCTCTCCAATTTCACCTGCATGTTTCTTCCTATTTCTCAACATAGACCTACTGTCTGAGGCTCTGTATAAGAAAGTTCAGAGCAGACTCTCCTTCTTTTAGTCTTTTCGAGTGCAGGGGGCTCCTGAAGACCTTCTATGACTTTGTTTTATGACTCATCTTCTATGGAGCTGGCTGTTGGAGCAGTGGCTTATCTGTAGCTGAGAGAAAGTGGCTGGATCAGCTGATCAGGAAGGCCAGCTCTGTGATTGGAATCACTGCAGGAGGTGGGAAACAAAAGGATTATAACTAAATTAACATCTCTGTCGGATAATATCTTCCATCCCACACATGAAGCTGTTGCAGAACTGAAAAGCTCCTTTAGTGACAGCCTGCTGCCCCTAAATGCACCAGGAAGCGTTATCACAGACCCTTCCTCCCAGCAGTTGTAAGACTCTATAACCACCACTGTTCCCAACAACCTTCATGCTGATTTTGCACATTTCAATTCAGTTTACTTATAGAGCGCCAATTCACAACATATCATCTCAAGGCACTTTACAGTTCACCAGATCATAGAGTCAAATTGATTCAAAGTTTTCTATCTAGGGAAAACCAGTTGATTGCATCGACTTAGTGACTCGAATGCAATCCCTCACACTAAGCATGCTGGTAGCGACAGTGGAGAGGAAAAACTCCCTTTAAGAGGAAGAAACCTCCAGCTGAACCAGGCTCAGTTTGTTTCAGTTTAGTCAGTTAAATAACATGCTGCTGGCATTTTGCACATCTCTGATGTTGCTGCTACTTTCATCCATTGATGAATATCCATTACTGCAAAAATGTCCATAGCTGTATATTGGTTATTTATTCTCCAGGTGCACAGTTTTAATTGTAAAAAAAAAAAAAATGTACATCGCAGTATTTTATTGTTTATCTTTTAACTCTTCACTATTATGTTATTCTTATAAATTTTTCTAAGGTCCACTGTTAGGACTCCAGTCTGTGTTTTTGTCTTCCTTCCTCCACCAGGCGGCTCCTGGTTCTGATTCTCCTCCTCACACAACTGCAAGGCGTTACCTCGTTAACGAAGTGCTCTTAAAGGAATAGTACACCCAAAACATGATTAGCCTTCATTTTCTACTCACCCCCATGCTGAACAACACTCTGGAGTACTTTTTTG